CTGAGAAAACCATAATTCAAAAAGAGTCATGTACCAAAATGTTCATTACAGCTCTATTTACAATAGCCAGGAGATGGAACTAACCTAAATGTCCATCATTGGATGAATGGATAAAGAAGATGTGGCACATATATACAATGGAATATTACTCAGCCATAAAAAGAAATGAAATTGAGCTATTTATAATGAGGTGGATAGACCTAGAGTCTGTCATACAGAGTGAAGTGAGAAAGAGAAAGACAAATACCGTATGCTAACACATATATATGGAATCTAAGAAAAAAAATGTCATGAAGAACCTAGGGGTAAGACAGGAATAAAGACACAGACGTACTAGAGAATGGACTTGAGGATATGGGGAGGGGGTAGGGTAAGGTGTGACAAAGTGAGAGAGTGGCATGGACATATATACACTATCAAACGTAAAATAGGTATCTAGTGGGAAGCAGCCGCATAGCACAGGGAGATCAGCTCAGTGCTTTGTGACCACCTAGAGGGGTGGGAAATGGAGGGTGGGAGCTAGGGAGATGCAAGAAGGAAGAGATATGGGAACATATGTATATGTATAACTGATTCACTTTGTTATAAAGCAGAAACTAACACACCATTGTAAAGCAATTATACTCCCATAAAGATGTAAAAAAAAAAGAGTGAGATAGTGTAGTACAAAAAAAAATACTAGCTCAGGAAATCCAACAACACATTAAAAGGATCATACACCATGATCAAGTGGGATTTATTCTCAGGATGCAAGGATTCTTCAACATATGCAAATTAGTCAATGTGATATACCATATTAACAAACTGAAGAATAAAATCTATATGACCATCTCAATAGATGCAGAAAAAGCTTTTAACAAAATTCAGTACCCATTTATGATAAAAACTCTAAAGAAAGTGGCCAGAGGGAACCTACCTCAACATAATAAAAGCCATATATGACAAACCCACAGCAAAAATCATTCTCAATGGTGAAAATTGTAAAGCATTTCCTCTAGTATCAGGAACAAGATGAGGATATCCAATCTCGCCACTATTACTCAACATAGCTTTGGAAGTCCCAGCCACGGCTATCAGAGAAGAAAAAGAAATAAAAGTAATCCAAATTGGAAAAGAAAAAGTGAAACTGTCACTGTTTACAGATGACATGATACTATACATGGAAAATCCTAAATATGCCACCACAAACCTACTAGAGCTAATCAATGAATTTAGTAAAGTCACAGGATACAAAATTAATACACACATATCTCCTGCATTCCTATACACTAAGAACAAAAGATCAGAAAGAGAAATTAAGGAAACAATCCCAATTACCACTGCAACAAAAAGAATAAAATACCTAGGAATAAACCTACCTAAGGAAGCAAAAGACCTGTATGCACAAAACTGTAAGATACTGATAAAAGAAATCAAAGATGACACAAACAGATTGAGAGATATACCATGCTCGTGGTTGGAAGAGTCAATATTGTGAAAATGACTACACTACCCAAAGCAATCTACAGATTCAATGCAATCCCTATCAAATTACGAACAGCATTTTTCACAGAATTAGAACAAAAATATTTACAATTTGTAATGGAAACACAAAAGACCCCGAATAGTCAAAGCAATCTTGAGAAAGGAAACCTGAGCTGGAGACATCAGGCTCCCTGACTTCAGGCTATACTATAAAGCTACAGTAATCAAGACAGTATGGTACTGGCACAAAAAGGGAAATATAGATCAATGGAAAAGGACAGAAAGTCCAGAGATAAACCCATGCACCTACAGTAACCTAATCTATGACAAAGGGTGCAAGAATATACAATGGAGAAAAGACAGCCTCTTTAATAAGTGGTGCTGGGAAAACTGGACAGCTACATGTAAAAGAATGAAATTAGAATACCCCCTAACAACATACATAAAAATAAGCTCAAAATGGATTAAAGACCTAAATGTAAGGCCAGACACTATCATACTCTTAGAGGAAACACAGCAGAACACTCTTTGACATAAATTGCAGGAAGATCTTTTTTTAACCCACCTTCTACAGTAAGAAGAATAAAAACAAAAATAAACAAATGGGACCTAAATAAACTTAAAAGCTTTTGTGCAGTAAGTGAAACCATAAACAAGATGAAAAGATAACCCTCAGAATGGGGGAAAATATTTACCAATGAAGCAACTGACAAGGATTAATCTCCAAAATATACAAACAGCTCATGCAACTCAATATCAAAAACAAAATCCAATCAAAAAATGGGTGGAAGACCTAAATAGACATTTCTCCAAAGAAGACATACAGATGGCCAACAAACACATGAAAAGACACTCAACATCACTAATTATTAGAGAAATGTATGTCAAATCTACAATGAGGTATCACCTCACACTGGTCAGAATGGCCATCATCAAAAATCTACAAACAATAAATACTGGAGAGCGTATGGAGAAAAGGGAACCCTCTTGCACTGCTGGTGGGAATGTAAATTGATACAGTCACCATGGAGGACAGTATGGAGGTTCCTTAAAACACTAAAAATAGAATTACCATATGACCCAGCAATCCCACTACTGGGCATATACCCAGAGAAAACCATATTTCAAAAAGATACATGCTTCCCTGGTGGCGCAGTAGTTGAGAGTCTGCTTGCCGATGCAAGGGACACGGGTTCATGCCCCGGTCCCTGAAGGTCCCAAATGCCGCGGAGCAGCTGGGCCCGTGAGCCATGGCCACTGAGCCTGCGCGTCCAGAGCCTGGGCTCCGCAACCGGAGAGGCCACAGCAGTGAGAGGCCTGTGTATCACACACACACACACAAAAGATACACACACCCCAATTGTTCACTGCAGCACCATTTAAAATAGCCAGGACATGGAAGCAGCCTATATGTCTATCAACAGAGGAATGGGTAAATATGATATGGTACATGTATACAATGGAATATTACTCAGCCATTCAAAGGACCAAAATTGGGTCATTTGTAGAGACGTGGATGGACGTAGAGACTGTCATACAGAGTGAAGTAAGTCAGAAAGAGAAAAACAAATATTGTATATTAACACATATATGTGGAATCTAGAAAAATGGTATAGATGATCTTACTTGTAAAGCAGAAATAGAGACACAGACGTAGAGAACAAGAGTATGCATACCAAGGAGGAAAGGGTGGGGGTGGGATGAACTGGGAGATTGGGATTGACATATATACACTACTATGTATAAAATAGATAACTAATGAGAACCTACTGTATACCACAGGGAACTCTACTTGGTGCTCTGTTGTGACCTAAATGGTAAGGAAATCCAAAAAAGAGGGGATATATTATGTATACATATGGCTGATTCACTTTGCTGTACAGCAGCAACTGACACAGCAGCCTAAAGAATCTATATTCCAAAAAAAAAAAAAAAAGGATGTAGGATGGGGCTCAGGCATATGTATTTTTTAAAATGTTCCCAGATGATTCTAATAAATTGTCAGAATTGGGGAACACTATTTAGGTGCTTCTAAGATATATAGTTAGATTGATAGATAGATGTGCACACAAATATATACACACATATACACACACACAAATGGCTACTTATTACAGAAGTGCTGTTGTATTTGTATGCCACTAGCTCTTTTGTAGTGCCAAATTATCTGGTATCCTCCTGTTCCATCACTTCCAATATTGGTCTTTCTTATTTCATCTTCTCCCTGCCCCATTCTTGTCTATTGCCTAAAAATTCTCAGCTTTCCCGAGGTTATATTTATTGATGCTTACTATTAAAATATTCTTTTTTTTTCTCATCTGCAATCCTCCTTCCTCCCTCTACTTTCCTTTCTTCTGGTTCTGCACCATTCTGAAAGCTTAAGAGTGTCAGCAATCTAGCTCAAAATAAGGTAGTAATGTACTTATCAGTGATCCATTTGTTTTTCCTGAGTGAATCATCTTCCAAAAAATTCTTCCTATTCTGGTACAATAAAGTTGTGATATATCACCTTCTCTTCTCATAATACACTCTTTTCTCTATATTCTCTCACTCAAAAAATCAACAACATTCATGAAGCACATGCTATGTATCAGGCACTATACTACACACTGGGGATACAGAGATAAAATGTGGACTTGAGGAGAGCAAATGTTGTTAGAAATATCATGTCCCCTAATAAAACAAAAAGGTATACAATATGTTATGGGATGAAACATGTCCCCTCAAATGCATATGCTGAAGTCCTAACCCATAGTACCTCAGAATGTGACTGTATTTGGAGATAGGGCCTTTAAAGAGGTAATTAAGGTAAAATTAGGTCAATAGGGTGGGCCCTAATCCAATATGACTGGTGTTCTTATAAGAAGAGGAGATTAGGCACAGACACACACAGAGGAAAAAGCATGTGAAGGCATAGGGAGAAGACAACCATCTACAAGCAAAGCAGAGAGGTCTCAGAAGAAACAAACCCTGCCAACACCTTGATCTCGAATTTGCCTCTAGAATTGTGAGAAAACAAATTTGTTATTTAAGTCACCTAGTATGTGATACTTAGTTATGACAGCCCTAGAAAACTTATACTCAGTATACCTAATCATAGGTATCTGTGTAAAAAAAGTTGGTACTATAAAATTAAGATTTAATGACTTTGAAATAGGGACTACTATTCTTTCCAACATCAAATGACAAATTTGAGGCAAGGATCATTATATGTTAGATGTTTTTTTTTGATCTTCATAGTAATTGTTGATAAACAGAAAAACTATGAAGGCTTAACCACAACCAAAATAATGTGCTCTGACCTCTAAAATCTGCAATCATCTTTTTCAATTCAGGGAGCCAACAATGCTATAACACTGGAGAAACATACTGTGATGACAATCTATTAGGAAGCCATACTATATAACTCTATTACAACAGTTTCATAGGACTGTGGAACTCAGCATAGATACCCACAGAAAACACACAAAACAAAAGGAGGGATTTTTAAAGCCTAAATTTTTCGTTTTTTATGTAATAATGCAACATCCACCTACCTGTTCAAACATTTGCTTTATTTGTGGATAGATAGGCCAGTTTGATCACTCTGAAATTCCAAGAAGCATTAAAACTACAGATTTGTTAGAAGATACATGCAGAGCTCTGGAAAAGCATCTTGACATACCGTTTTCATGCAATGAATAATCCAGGGTCATTGAAAACCAAGCCAAGTGTCAGCATACTTTGAAAGAAGGCTAACAGTAATAATAATTTACATGTCAAAACGCCACTAGAGTGAACTAAACACATCAAATGATGTACACACTGGAAAGTAATTGCAGGATACTTAGGTTTGCAAAATTGTATCAATTTGTAGTGATGTCTGAAAAACAAAAAAGGGTGACAAACTAGTTCCCACTGGGGTTGGTTTATTCTATTCAATACTTACTAGAGTCAGCTCTTTACTTCCCTCATATATAAAATGGGAATAAAACCTACCCAATCCATTTCAGATCTTGGTTATAAGAGTCAACTGAGAATTCTGAAACACCACAAAACACCTATAAAAATTAAAGCTATTAAACTTATTTGTACTATTAACCTTTGCATCCCTTGTGGTGCAGCATACAACTCCACTTTATAGTTGCTGCCCACCAACATTTAACTGAACAATAATTGTTTTGCAAATCTGTAGTAGAAGGGTTCCAATTATTATTAATTTTTAAAGAATTATTTATTTATTTTTGGTTGCATTGGGTCTTCACTGCGGCACGCGGGCTTTCTCTAGTTGTGGTGAGCAGGGGCAACTCTTTGTTGTGGTGCGCAGGCTTCTCATTGTGGTGGCTTCTCTTGTTGAGGAGCATGGGCTCTAGGTGCGTGGGCTTCAGTAGTTGTGGCACGCGGGCTCAGTAGTTGTGGCTCACAGGCTCTAGAGTGCAGACTCAATAGTTGTGGCACACGGGCTTAGATGCTCCGTGGCATGTGGGATCTTCCCGGACCAGGGATCGAACCCGTGTCCCCTGCATTGGCAGGCGTATTCTTAACCACTGTGCCACCAGAGAAGTCCCCCAATTACTTTCTAAACAGGGTGAGTGAATAAAAAGCAGAAGCAAGCATCAACTTTGAAAGGGAAGAAAAATACTGAAGCAGAGAAAGGCTAAATGTCCATCAAAATGGAAAGACAAATAGTGGAACGAAAAACACCATATAAGGAGCAGACCCTCCATCTTAAAATACTCCCTACTTATGGCTACACAAAAGTTTAAGTAAAACACCCTTGTGAGACTATTTTTTAAAAGATTCTTATGAGAGATTCACGTCAAGAATGGTTTCTAAAATTCGAAACTGATGGCTTAAAAATGTCAGGAAATCAGTTTTATTTTTTGAATATATATTTTCAGTTAAAAGTTACATTTACATTTCTGGATAATAAAAATATAAATCAAATTAGAGACTAAAATATTGCTGACCTTGTGCTAATAAAATATACAAAATCTTCTTTTAAAATTTCTAAAACACTGGTAGCATTAAAAATATGTATTTTATTTCAGGGAATGATAACCATTCCATACAAACTTTAAAAGTAAATATAGGGGAGACCTTCAAGATGGTGGAGGAGTAAGACGTGGAGATCACCTTCCTCCCCACAAATACATCAGAAATACATCTACATGTGGAACAACTCCTACAGAACACCTACTGAACGCTGGCAGAAGACCGCAGATTTCCCAAAAGGCAAGAAACGCCCCACATACCTGGGAAGGGCAAAAGAAAAAACAGAGACAAAAGAATAGGGACAGGACCTGCACCTCTGGGAGGGAGCTGTGAAGGAGGAAAAGTTTCCACACAATAGGAAGCTCCTTCACTGGCAAAGACAGGGTGTGATGGGGGGGAAGCTTCAGAGCCATGGCGGAGAGTGCAGCAAGAGGGGTGCAGAGGGCAAAGCAGAGAGATTCCTGCACAGAGGATCAGTGCCGACCAGTACTCACCAGCCTGAGAGGCTTCTCTGCTCACCTGCCAGGACGGGTGGGGGCTGGAAGCTGAGGCTCCAGCTTCCGAGGTCAGATCCCAGGGAGACGACTGTGGTTGGCTGCGTGAACACACCCTGAAGTGGCTAGTGTGCCACAGCTCGCCAGGAGGGAGACCGGGAAAAAGTCTGGAACTGCCTAAGAGGCAAGAGACCATTGTTTCGGGGTGTAAGAGAAGAGGGGATTCAGAGTACTGCTTAAATGATCTCCAGAGATGGGCATGAGCCACGGCTATCAGTGCAGACACCAGAGACAGGCATGACACACTAAGGCTGCTGCTGCAGCCACCAAGAAGCCTGTGTGCAAGCACAGGTCACTATCCACACTTCACCTCCCAGGAGCATGTGCAGCCCATCACTGCCAGGATCCCATGAGTCAGGAACAACTTCCCTGGGAGAACACACAGCGCACCTCAGGCTGTTGCAACGTTACTCCAGCCTCTGCCTCCGCAGGCTCACCCTGCATTCCACACCCCGCCTTTCCCCCGACCTGTGTGAGCCAGAGCCTCTAATCACCTGGTACTTTAACCCCATCCTGTCTGAGAGAAGAACAGACGCCCTCAGTGGACCTACACACAGAGGCAGGGCCAAATCCAAAGCTGAACCCCAGGAGCTCTGTGAACAAAGAAGAGAAAGGGAAATTTCTCCCAGCAGCCTCAGGAGCAGCAGATTAAATCTCCACAATCAACTTGATGTACCCTGCATCTCTGGGATACCTGAATAGACAACAAATCATCCTAAAATTGAGGCAGTGGACTTTGGGAGCAACTGTAGACTTGGGGTTTGCTTTCTGCATCTAATTTCTTTCTGGTTTTATGTTTATCTTAGTTTAGTATTTAGAGTTTATTATCATTGGTAGATTTGGTTATTGATTTGGTTGCTCTCTTCCTTTTAAAATGTTTTTATATATAGCTATTTTTTTTCCTTTTTCCCTTTTTGTGATGGTGTATGTGTATGCTTCTTTGTGTGATTTTCTCTGTATACCTTTGCTTTAACCATTTGTCCAAGGGTTCTGTCTGTCCGTTTTTTTAATTATGTTTTACATTTCTTTTAATTTTAATAATTATTTAAAATTTTTATTTTAATCACTTTATTGTATTGTATTATATTGTATGTTTTTCTTTCTTTCTTTCTTTTTTCTCCATTTTCTTCTGAGCCGTGTGGCTGACAGGGTCTTGGTGCTCCAGCCAGGTGTCAGGCCTGTGAGTCTGAGGTGGAGAGCCGATTGCAGGACATTGGTCCACCAGAAACCTCCCAGGTCTATGTAATATCAAATGGTGAAAGCTCTCCCAGAGCTCTCCATCTCAATGCTAAGACCCAGTTCTACTCAATGACCAGCAAGCTACAGTGCTGGACAAGCTATGCAAAACAACTAGCAAGACAGGAACAAACCCACACCCATTAGCAGAGAGGCTGCCTAAAATCTAAATAAGGTTACAGACACCCCAAAGATAAACCACCGGACATGGTCCTTCCCACAAGAAAGACAAGATCCAGCTGCATGCACCATAACACAGGCACCAGTCCCCTCCACCAGGGAGCCTACACAACCCACTGAACCAACCTTAGCCACTAGGAGCAGACACCAAAAACAAAGGGAACTACGAACCTGCAGTCTGCAAAAGGGAGACCCCAAACACAGTAAGGTAAGCAAAATGAGAAGACACAGAAATACACAGCAGATGAAGGAGCAAGGTAAAAACCCACCAGACCAAACAAATGAAGAGGAAATAGACACTCTACCTGGAAAAAAACAGAGTAATGATAGAAAAGATGATCCAAAATCTTAGAAATACAATGAAGAAGCTACAAGAAACATTTAGAAAGAACTGAGAAGAACTAAAGAGCAAACAAACAATAATGAGCAACACAATAAATTAAATTTAAAATTCTCTAGAAGAAATTGACAGCAGAGTGAGGCAGAAGAACGGATAAGTGACTTGGAAGATAAAACAGTGGAAATAACTACTGCAGAGCAAACAAAGGAAAAAAAGAATAAAAATAATTGAGGACAGTCTCAGAGACCTCTGGGACAACATTAAATGCACCAACATTCTAATTATCGGGGTCCCAGAAGAGGAAGAGAAAAAGAAAGGTACTGAGAAATTATTTGAAGAGATTATAGTTGAAAACTTCCTTAAAATGGGAAAGGAAATAGTCAATCAAGTCCAGGAAGTGCAGCGAGTCCCATACAGGATAAATCTAAGGAGAAACAAGCCAACACACATATTAAACAAAGTATCAAAAATTAAATACAAAGAAAACATATTAAAAGCAGCAAAAGAAAAACAAAAAGTAACATACAAGGGAATCCCCATAAGGTTAGCTACTGAACTTTCAGCAGAAACTCTTCAAGGCAGAAGGGAAAGTCAGGACATATTTAAAGTGATGAAAGGGAAAAACATAAACCAAGATTACCCAGCAAGGTTCTCATTCAGATTCGAAGGAAAAATTAAAACTTTGACAAACAAGCAAAAGCTAAGAGAATTCAGCAGCACCAAACCAGCTTTACAACAAATGCTAAAGGAACTTCTCTAGGCAGGAAACATAACAGAAGGAAAAGACTGACAATAAACCAAAACAATTAAGAAAATGGTAATAGGAACATACATATTGGTAACTACCTTAAACGTAAATGGATTAAATGCTCCAACCAAAAGACATAAACTGGACAAGTGGATAAAAAACAAGACCCGTATGTATGCTGTCTACAAGAGGCCCACTTTAGATCTAGGGACACATACAGACTAAAAGTGAAGGGATGGAAAAAGTTATTCCATGCAAATGGAAATCAAAAGAAAGCTAGTGTAGCAATTCTCATGTCAGAAAAACTGGACTTTAAAATAAAGACTATTACAAGAGACAAAGAAGGACACTACCTAATGATCAAGGGATCAATCCAAGAAGAAGATATAACAATTGTAAATATTTATGCACCCAACATAGGAGCACCTCAATACATAAGAAAAATGCTAAGAGCCTTAAAAGGGGAAATTGACAATAACACAAGCATAGAAGGGGACTTTAACACCCCACTTTCACCAATGGACAGATCATCCAAAATGAAAAAAATAAGGAAACACAAGCTTTGAATTATACAAGATGGAATATATATATATATATATATATATATATATATATATATACACACACATATAAGACATTTTATCCAAAAACAAGAGAATACACTTTCTTCTCAAGTACTCATGGAACATTCTCCAAGATAGATCATATCTTGGGTCACAAATAAAGCCTTGGTAAATTAAAGAAAACTGAATTTGTATCAAGTATTTTTTCCGACCATAACACTATGAGACTAGGATCAATTGCAGGAAAAAAACTGTAAAAAATACAAACACATGGAGGCCAAACAATCCACTACTAAATAACCAAGAGATCACTGAAGAAATCAAAGAGGAAAAAAAATACCTAGAAACAATTGACAATGAAAACAGGATGACCCAAAACCTATGGGATTCACCAAAAGCAGTTCTAAGAGGGAAGTTTACAGCAATACAATCCTACCTCAAGAAACAAGAAACATTTCAAATAAACAACCAAACATTACACCTAAAGCAACTAGAGAAAGGAGAAAAAAAAAACCCAAAGTTAGCAGAAGGAAAGAAATCATAAAGATCACATCAGAAATAAATGAAAAAGAAATGAAGGAAACAATAGCAAAGATTAATAAAACTAAATGCTGGTTCTTTGAGAAGATAAACAA